GCATTTTTGTGTCAGTGTTGTTACTGATGTAGTTGTAGTTGTTTTTGTAGATGTTGATTTGCTTGTTACCCACGTGGTCTTTGAATGAAGCGCAACACACTTTCCTTCCATGATTGTAGTTGCTGCAGTAGATTTTGACTGAGTATCCGTTACAGTTGTTGACTCTGTAAGCGTCGTTGTTGATATAGACGTTGTTACATGAGGCTTGGCATCAGGCAACACAAATTCCTTGCAAGACTTACGTATTTTGTCACATGAATCTTTAAACTTAGGACAGTCATCTTCAAAGACACACTCTTGGATAAAATGATCACAGATGCCCTTGGCTTCTAAATACAACTCTACAAGTAAAGACACCAGATCAAACGCTAACCCTTGACGCAGTGATGGCTCTATATATAGGGCATCTTCGCGACGTACAAGTCTAACATAAGCCGTGTTATTGCTGTGAAGATGATGATTTTGCTTCCCATCTGCTGTTTGAGAAATGGCCAAGAATAAACCAGAATCATTAATGGCTTTTTCAATTTCTTGCTTGGTTTTTTTAAATTCATTTGCTCTATTTTCCAAATCTTTAGCAGCTTTATCCAGTTTGACTGGTAAGGCATTGCATAATATTTTCATCCAGCTAATAAGTTTTTCACAAGTTTCACTTTTTGTGTTTTTATCTTTATTATATTCTTTACATGAATCTTCAAGAGTCTTGTTTGAGTGTGCTGATTTTGTACAATAATCATTTAGTTTATTAATGCAAGTATTTTTTTCTTTTAAAGAACCTTTTATATTGTACATGAGGGCTTTTAATAGAGGCAATTTTTCACGAAACGTCTTACAGTTCTTTTTGAGACTCACACAAAGACCATCTTCGCCTTTATTGCCTTGTCTCAGTTTATCAGGACAATTGCCCGTAAGCATATCGCAGTATCCACTCCAAAGAAAACAAATATCATCCTTTTTTTTATTGTCTTTTGACTCCTCAATGATATTGTGACTTTCCATATTTTCCTTAAATGCCAAACAATGATTTTGCACGTCTTCAATCATTATAACGCATGATTTATGATGTGCTACACATGTAAGATTGAATGGATTTATTTCCCTCCTAAACCACCGAGGACACTTTTTATTTAAATATGTTGTACAATTATCGACGTTTGCCAAAATATCTGTATTTTTACTCAACAAATTGTCTTTTACTTCTTTTGTGTTCCTCAAATGAGCACAATTCCTCTTTAGCGTAGCGCAAGGACCATTAAGCTCTTCAAAATCCTTTGTCAGGTCTTCACACTGTTTCTCCAGAACGAGACAATCCTTTTCTCGGGGATAATCTCTTGCTTTATCTAAAATACGTCGCAGATGGTGACTTTTGAGTTTAACATCTTTTGCAAGTGCTTCGCATGTTTCTCTTGGCTTTAAACACATTGAGAGTATAACTATACTATTGTTTCTGACTACCTGGCACCTTTCTACTAGTTTGGCTATACACTCTTTAGTTCTTTTTGGATCTAAGTTGTGAAGTAATCCAAACAACCCTTCCTCCAACACGTCATTTGCCAGTCCATAAATCGCCGATTTAAAACACTCTAGCCCTAGATTCCTACAAGCATTGTAAAGAGTATTATTAGAATATGGGTCCATATAATGGCATTTCTGACCAAGATTTATACAGTCTTCCTTTGAAATTGTTCCTGGTAGTTCGTCCCATGAGTACGGTTTAGAGTCAGTAGTATCGCTTACGTTGGAAAGCTTTTTGTTATAGAGAACTAATTTGAGAGACATGTATTCTTTTTTTAGTTCATCGTTTAATTCTTTGCATGCTTTATTTTTGTCAGTTTTTTTGCAAATGTTTCTTAGTTCTTCTGTTAAGTATTCAAAAGAAGCACAGTTTTCCAGAGATTTAGTGCATAACTCTGTAATGTCTAAATTACCTGCAGTGTCTACAGTATAATGTTTTGAGAATAATAAAAAATGAGAAAACTTTGTCGACAAGGATTTCTCAAGGAAAACACCAAGAGTTAACGCTTCTGTGTGAAACTCCTGAAGACCTATTTTTTCCTGCAATGTAGGTGGAAAGTTTAATGGGTTAAAAGGAAGATTGTGGGAGGGGGGGGGGTATGTGATATTTTCTCCTTCGCAACGTTTTTTAAGCTCCATACAATCCTGTACCTCGCCATTTTCACAGTTTGATGAGTAGAAATAACATTTCCTGAGTAAAGGATAACAGTTATCTTTCAATTTATTAGAATTTTTCAATGTATTTTTGAAATTTTTAAAAGAATCACAGTTGTCTTTTGTTTTATTAAGAAGAACAGTGCACGTATGACCATATTTATAGCAATGTAACATTAAATGATAATCTTCTTTATTCAGTTTTGAGCAAGATTCTTTAATTTTTGTTTCACAAATAGAACTATTTTTTAAATTTTCGGTAAGAGCCCTTAAAAGAATATCATAAGTTAGATTTCCTCCTATTGTACGAGAACATTCTTTAATTATCTCATCGCATATAGAAGAAAAACCATGAAATTCTCGGAAAATCACGCATTGGATATGAGCATAGTTGCAACGGGTTTTTCCTAAAAGTACCCCATTTGAAATATTCTTAATAATATTCATAAGAAATTCATTAGCATTACTCGAGAGAGTATCAATTTGAGTTTTAAGATCGTTGCATTCCTGTTTTACATTTTTACAAAATCCTTCTAATGTAGGATGCACGTTCTTTGGCTCCAAGGCCAGACCTTCCAAATCCTTGCAGTACTCTTCCAGTTTTTTCTCACATCCAAATTCTGCGTTTTTTCCTAGAATCAAAGATAAAACTTTTTCTTCGCTGCATAAAAATGTTAGTTTTGTATGTTTTGTTGCTGCTTAAAATTTTCTATACCTTAATGAATCTAATGATAAATCGGATGGTAAGTCTAATGGATTTTGTGATGGATCTTGTGATGGATCTGATGCAGATCTTTTATGAATGAATTCTAAAAAAAAGTTAAAAATGTGAAAAAATAAAATATAATACATATAATACCAATGTTTTTTGAGAAAGCATACGCTATACCAAGAAAACTAGCTAACGCAAATGTTTTCATCTATAATGATAACAAATAATTTTTATAAAAAATGGTTCATATTTGACATCGAAAAAATATCGTTCTCAGTAAAAAATAACGATAAACGATAATATTAATAACCGATATGCGATAAATAGATAGGTATTGTTTTGTATTATATTTTGTATTATATTTACATGTTTTATTTTTCATCTAGTTTTTACTTTTAAATCTATAAATTTTCATAAAAATATATTCTTAAAATATATTAAATATTTTAAATGATATAATTTTATTAGTAATACTTTTTATAATTCCTATTTCTGTATTTTTTATTATTTTATTTTTTCTTGCGTTCTTATTATTAATTTTCATTTTATCTATTTTGGTTTTATTTTTTAAATTTGATTTTGTTTAATTTTTTTTTATATTATTTTTCTTAAAAATATGATTTTAGAAATATGATTTAAGATTTTTGCTAATTATTTTTTATTCACTTTTTATATTTTGTTTTATTAAGTCAAAATGTGAATTTAAAACTATATAAATAAGATTTTGTATTTCTCCTAAATTTTTTGCAGATTTTTTGTCTTAGAATTGAAATTATAAAAATATTTTTTAAATAATGATTATTCTTTCTTAAATTTATTAATGTCTACGTATTTTATTAATAATTTTAATTTTTTTATTTTTTTATTTTTTTATTTATATAATTTTTTATATGCATTTACTGATAAATTGTTTTAATTAGCTTTAAAAAAATTTAATTTTTATTTTAAATTTTTTTATTTAAGATTTTTTTCAATCCTTTTTTAAGAATTTTACGTTATTCAGGTTTTTTTATAATAATTTATTTTTTATGATATATTAAATATTCTTAAAACTAGATGTTTTTGTTCATTTTTCAGATATTTAGCATTTGAA